ATGATGAACGATAGAACAAGTATTTCAGAAGGATAACTTTGAGGACTGCGCATCAATATAGATTAAAATCTCAACAATTACACTATAAGGAGGAGGAGACGTCTTTTCTCTCAACAGATCAATCAATTTCTCCACCCCCTACCCCACAATAGAAACCTTTGTGTATGATTATTCAGTATGCTCAAAAAATATGTTTTCACTGAAATATAGGGGTGCTATAGTATTGTGTAAACGTATCTCGCGGAGCTATTGACTTGGAATCCCAAATTTAGCCCAAAAATACTCGGAGTTCTATACGCCACAAAGCCTTGCTTTGTCTTGAGATCGAAGTTAAAGGCTCTCGAACAAGGTGTGTGACAGTATTGACAAGGTGGACCTGTTTGAGTGTTATTCAATCCATATGCTTTGCGGCTGTGTTTTGTGGCTTGGGTGTGACCGTTCCACCTACGAGAAATAATAACCCTCTGACGCTTGAAGTCAAAGCATTTCACAGCGATTTTTTCAATCCTCTCTCTTTTTTCTGTGATCGATGAAACGGACAGAAGAACAATAATCGTTCACTCGCATGTGGGGTAGACTGCCGTACTAAGGAAAAACGCCGTATGCGAGCCTCCCGGTGTTGCCAAATTTTCCCTGTCACATAACTAATTTTCAGGAAAATTTTTGGATATTCATCTACCGATGCCTCATTGGGCTGCTTCAAATTTTCAATAAACAGCCCGCAGCACAGGTGTGTGTACCGATGGAACAAGAATTGGACTGCATTTTGCAATTTGGAGCAATAAATTCTGGCTCATCTGAAAATACACTTAAGTGCATAGGGAAACTAATGGCACATATGCTGTTTTTAAACCGGACCGAAATTTTATAGTTCCCAATTGCAAAATGTAGTCCAATTATTTATTCAGGGGTGCAAAACTTCCGCGGCCAAACGACACGGTCGGTCGCGAACCAGTGGCGTGGCGTGAATTGCGATATATCGATTGTTATGCCATTTAAACCTATGTAAAAGGATCGATAAACAGGGTGTTCGCAGCGAACATCTTAATAATCGATTCTTTACCGTGGGTGTAAATTACATAACAATCGATGTATCGCAATTCACGCCACGCCACTGTCGCGAACAAATGCAAAGATCGCCAAAAAAGGGTTTTTGAAATGTGAAGGCACCTGAAAGGGGGGAAAATGTGAATACAGCGCTCTTTTCTGTGAATGAAACTATTGAACGTGTTATTTTCTCTGAGGAAAACTGCTTAGCGTATTGCTTTTGGCATAGGAAAATTTGAACTGTGTGTTTTATACAAAGAAAATAGTGAAGCGCTCAATCTTATGTAGATAGCCATGCAAAGGCCGCACCTTAAAATATGTGAAGTTCTAGCTTCAAATTATGTGAGGCAAATAGTTTTCTGTGCCTCTAATTTATGACAATCAAAGCGAAATTTGTTGGCCTTTTAAATTTATTTTCAAGTAACTGTTAGTGACAAAGATTATAAATAGAGCAGCTACATTGCAACGTTAACACAATTTATGCTAACATATTTGTTTGAGTTCACTCATAAGTGGAATGCCGCTAAAAAGTTCAAGGACCATCGTTTCGAGGACGAAAGTTCGTTTTATTTTCTATGCATAACTCCGGTCAAATTTCTTTGCGAGACATGAAAGGAAAGGATCAGAAATTGCCGAACGTTTCGAAGGGAATAAGATGTTTTCTCAACTTTAACCAAGCGCCACTAATGAGTGAATGCATTTATGCGAGTCTTTTTCCGGCAGTAAAAAAAATATTCGAGTGGTTCAAATTTTGTGCAGATATAAGATCATTCACATGCCGGAAATTCCTTTCACGCAGGCATTAAGTGGATTACACATCAGTTTTGAAACACTTTCGGGAGCTGTGTTCTATGAAAAATGGTCGGAGAATATAATCGCAAACAGGGGTGGACACTTAAAGCAGCCCATTGTGTCTATTTCAAGCCTCATAAAGTGATTTACGCTCATTATGGTAAAAATATAACACCAATCGTATTGCTATTGAATTAAAGCGTGTAGTTTAACAGCATTTTGAGGCGTTAGCTCCAAGTTTGAAGTTATTCAATTACAGTCTGCGCGCAAGCTCCCAAACCTAATTTAATGAAAAATTGAATTTATATGGATTAGAATTTGAGCTTTTCCCGTTCCCTCACTCTACGTGTCCGCAATTATCGTATTATTGAATAAATTTCATTGCTGAACAAAGCAGGTGTACTCTATTTTTAATCCAACGTTGATGAAAAATTAGAAAAACAGGAATAGGGTGCAAAATGTCTGTGCGGATTTTACTTTTATTAGACAATACAAAGGTTCTACATATACACTCGCAGTATTCCCTTTCAGGTTTATTTTCCAGTAACTACAGAGGGAAAGACAACTGCATCCTTCCCCAGGGGTGAAAGATATTTTCAATGCTGTGCAATACTTGAGTGAAATCATGTGTGATTTCTACAGCCCTAAGCGAACTATGCAATTATAAATTTAGAAGTGCCCGGAAGTTTTAAAAAACATCAATCAGAATCCATCTGGTTGCATCTGTTCATACAGTAAATATGATACCTGCGCGATCTGTAAAATTATGCACAAATCAAGGTCAGTTAGCGTTCTGGTCTCTCGCACCATATGGAGCTGATCACGTTTGGATGAAAACTAACAAGTGTCGAGGTTATTATGCAACTGATGGTGCACATTTTTTACGAGGCACACAGTCAAATTGAAGAATTAAATCGAGAGAGATTCAGAAATATCATTTCTCTTCAAGAAACACTATAGTACAGTATCAGAAAACGCATAGGAATACTGCGGAATAATACACTCTGCGGGCTTGTAAAGGTTAGAAAATCAACGATTTAGGTCGCAATTCACTCTCCCGTACTGATGCACTATTCGGTAGGGTTTTTCAAAATGTTCAAAACTTTTAAAACTTAATAATGTCCTTTTAAAGACTTAGTCACGTGGTGACAAGGCGTGATAGTAGAGTGGTCCCTGTCGTTGGATGACAAGGAATAATCCTCAGAAAAGAAAAAGAAGAAGAGAGAAAAGATGAAGGAGAAGAAAAAGAATAAGAGACAGAGGAGGGAGAAGAAGAAGGAGGAGAAGGAAATTGATAGAATTGGTTAGAAATCAATCAAATGACATACATGAATGAGACTGAGAGAGTATTTTAAGTCTGATTTTGTGTTATACATAGGTGGAAAATGATTTTTTAGTCGTTCTGTCATGACGGTCTTGGTGCATTAAGTGCAATCCAATAGTCTCAAATTATCTTATTTTGCCTCTGTTTTGTTTTTGTTTCTCTGTTAAAAAGCTTGTATGCCATCTTCTTTTAAAATAGATAGAATCTGATATTTGATCGCGTGCTCAGTAAAAGCTCGATCATCATTTTTTTGGTTGAATGGCCTACCTTTTTTCTGCCTCTATTACACAACAAATAATTCGGAACAGTAAATGAACTGTTCTCGCTAAAAGCAGAACGCATACTAGGATTAACTTCAAATTTTATTACGTGCAAATTGACACAATTCCCATATTTCATATCATAAAACAATATTTGAGCTTTTGAGGTTGAAGACATGTAGGTAATTTGATCACTTTTGATTCTAAGGACATAGGGAACTCAAAGAATCTTGATAATCAAACATAGCCTTCTGTTGAAATTTGACCATTTTTCCAGGCATTTTGCTAATCCTCAGCTTTTGCCGGCAAATTTTACAAAAAATACATTCGTTTTGTCGTAATGTTTGAGCAAGTCGCGACACCTCTAAGTTCGTTAAGTTTAACTGAGGGGCCCCGGAGGACAAGGCGCATAATTGCAGTTTTTGCTATTTCGAGAAATACATGTTTTAAGGTTCGAAATTACAAGGACCCTTATGGCGGAAAGGAAGTTCAATTTCACTTTTTGACGCTTGAAAATTGGAATATGGGAGCGAATGTTTCAGAAAATATGCATTAAGACTAGCTTTACTTGAAATCATTAATATCTCAATTTAATTCAAAGACTTGAACTTATTCGCCTTGTCCTCTAGGCTCCTCATTTCAAGGTTACGATATTGATAATTCAATTCATTATTCAAAAATATAGCCGTGCAATTCCTGCCTGATATTTTGCTGATTTTCGTTCGTAATTATGAGAAAAACCTTTGAATTTTTAAGTTGGAACCACCCAAAAGTTTCCAGATAAAAGTACAATTTGCAAGTGGAACCTCAGCAAAGTTGAAATATAGTTTACGCTTTTTTGTCAAGGGATATTGGAGGGATTCTTATGGATATTCCGGAAAATAATTGATGCGAAGGTACTCGACTAGTTTTACTTGAAATCATCAATATCTCAATTTTTTTTCAAAAACTGCACTTTATGCGCCTTGTCCTCCAAGCCCCTTAACGATCGTTCCTCTGGCATAGCTGGAAAGGAAGTTTAAACTCACTCTTTGACGCTTGAAAATTGGAATTTGGGAGCGAATTTTTCAGAAAATATGCATTAAGACTAGCTTTACTTGAAGTCATTAATATCTCATTTTTTTTTCAAAAACTACACTTTATGCGCCTTGTCCTCCAAGCCCCTTAACGATCGTTCCTCTGGCATAGCTGGAAAGGAAGTTTAAACTCACTCTTTGACGCTTGAAAATGGAATTTGGGAGCGAATTTTTCAGAAAATATGCAATAAGACTAGTATTACTTGAAGTCATTAATATCTCATTTTTTTCAAAAACTACACTGAAAAAAAAATTGCTAAAATACGGTGACAAATCACCAAATTAGTTAAATCAACCCGGTGTTCTTAATCTATTTTGATGAGTTGTCACCTTTTTTCACTGTTTCATGTGTTGATTTTAGCAGTTTTTTTTTTTTCAGTGTACACTTTATGCGTCTTGTCCTCCAAGCCCCTCAACGATCGTTCCTCTGGCATAGCTCACTAATCCTTGAGTAACAATGGGCAGCTCCTCGAGCAGATAAGAAAACGTGGGAATACGAACCGGCGTGTGCGAGGGCGCATAATCCTAGCGCCACGAAGAGCATCATCCTGAGCACTTCACAGTAATTTCACACTGCCACCGGGGAAACACAAGACCAGCAACACAAGAAAGGCCGCGCCGCTAATCGTACTCGTAAGACCGCGATCACTTTACCGCCGGGTGCGGGTAGCGACGGACTCGAAGATTAACAAATGATACCCAGGACTGATTCCAACGCTCTCCGGGGCGCCGCCGTTCACAGAGCACTCTAGTGTTTTTGCTCGACAATTAAAAATTACTTGACACATTTTTCGCCGTCCAGTAGGTTACTGTACCGCACCGGGGGCCGCCTTGCCTTTTTTTCAAGTTTAACGCCTTTTTTTTCTCGTCTACCGCCTCGCTCGGGCTCGTTTCGGAGATGAAAGTAATTTGGCGAGACTCGAGGTTGCAGCCGTTTAATTGGGCGCCCGGGCAAAAGTCGTCGTTTTCCTCACGATAGAATGTAACTCATGGGCGGATCCNGGGGGGGGGGGGGGGGGGCGTAGGAGGCATGATCCCCTGTTTGCCCGAAAAAAGGGGAAAGAGGAAGACAGAAATGAGGAAAAACGCAAACGGCATTTTTTTTCGGGAGACTCCAGGAAATTTCCGACTGAAAATTTAACTGATTTCTCTTGCAATCTCGCATGCACGAATGAGAAACATTTTAGACAACAATTCATTACTCAGGTACATTCTTGTAAGAAATTGAATTATTTGGGTAAATTTTGCAATCATGGAATGGAGTTACGTTCCATCGTCCGGGAATCGAAGAAGCTGTCTATCTGCGTAGCCGCAAGACTGTCGTGCTAAGGAAGAACCGGGAAGAATGCCGTATGAGCCTATAGACGTTGCCAAGTTTCCTCCGATGAAAACCAAATTTACTGAGAATATAGTGAATATCATATTTTCGAAAATTTTCAGACAATTTTGTACGCAATTTATAAAAAATATCTGAAAATTTCAAGGAAAAATATTCATGAATGTTGTCAAAAATACATATTTTATCAAGGGAAATTTGGCAATTCTGGAATGTTCATACGGCGTTCTTCCTTAGCACGGTAGAAGAGTCTTGGAAAGCGTGGATATTAACGGTATTTGTGGCTCACGTAAAAAAAAAGATGTTTCGCGATTACTTGATGATGCACAATTTCACTATCCGCGCTGATTCAAATTCAACTTTCGCTCTCTGTCGGCTGTGCCAAAGCACGGGCGTTCCTGCTCGGCGGCAAACGGTCTGATGATTTTCGCTGGAGTCGCGAGGAGTGACCGGAAATAACCCCGCGTCGGCATGGACGCATCCGCGCGCCCCGGAAGGTAAGTTTGCCGGAGAGAGCCTCGTTGAATTCATCATAATGAGGGACCGAGCATCATTATCACTCAGTCAGCAAACGAATTTACCTAGCCGTTCTGTCTAATGACTACACAAATCATGGAAAAGAGGCTAATTTTAATTGGAGGGTCTAGTGCAGTGTTCGAAACTCACCTTTGAGTTTTAGGAGCCATGTGGCGCATCAAGCTCAATTTTCAGGGGCTAGATTGACTTTCTGCCTATATGTCACGGCGCATTTAGTGAAAAATTAGACGCAAGATGTTTTAGTCACAGAGCAAGAAACTGTAACTTGGGGGAAATTTTGAAAATTCACAAAAAAGAAAAATTAGGAATTTTTTTTTTGGGGGGGGAGGGAATTTTTAGGGGCCACGTTGGCGCAGAGCCATCATTTTTCAGGTGCCATGACCGATTTCTTAGGCGCATTTGGTGCGTTCGCGCCTAAGAGTTTCGAACACTGGTCCAGTGCATTCATCTAGACGTATAGTTAACAAACATCGAGATATCAAACTTTTGCTAAAATACTGGTTTCATTTTGGATTAATATATCGGATCCGTTACGCAGATTTCAGCTGTTATTTTTTCACGAACTGATTGCGGTGGATGCAAGGGTCGTCAGACAGTATGTTGGATTTTTTAGCCAACGCAACGTGCGCTAAATTTTCAGCTTAAGCTGAAAATCTCAATACAGAGGGAATAAGCTCATACGGGCACAGCTTTTTCTCAAATGAGAAAAAACACTAAAAAGTGGCCCAAATACTGTATGTAACAAGGTGGAGAAATGGTACTGGGTCCACACCATTTCGCGGGGAAAACAAAGTCAAGAAGTTCCAAAAATTATAATCAGGTATTAATTAGGTAAATAGGTAATTAGCAGGGCCGGATTTATCTACTTGCCGCCCATGGGCCGCCCGTGTTTTTCCGCCCCCTTCTCATTTGTTTTGAAACATCAATAGATCGTATTCGACAGTGGTTCGATGTATCGTTTGGTTCAAAACAATAGAATATAACCTTAGAATATAACCTCAAACAAAAATTTTAGGATTTAATTTGAAAAAGCTGAAAATGAGACACTTCCTAACAACTTCACTTTTCATTGCCAGAGAGTAAAAATTCAATCACATAAGACCCGTTACCTCAGATTTCTAAATTGACGTTTGAGGCTGTGGTTACATATCGAACCAATCGATTTCAATATAATCTCACCCATGTGATCCGTCGATTACGATCTATAAAAACCATCAGGAGACCGTGCGGGTGGAGGAGGGGTGTATGAGACGCGTTTACTCGTGTTGGGTGCATTTTTCGTGAAAGCCCTGTCAACACTAACAAAAGTTCAGTTCCATAAACCCATCCCTGTTTGGAAAAGGCCTTCCATTTATAAAAAACGAACGAGCACATTATGAAAGAACAAACATAAATGTGGTTAAAAATTTTAACTTCCGCACCGCCGCGCCGATCGCACTGTGTTGGCGCAATGCGTGAAGTATTCATGCAGTCTTGCAGGCGCTATGCGTTTCCAGCCGACTGCTGCTGACCACAGTGCATTTGACGCAATGCGTGAAGTATTCATGCAGTCTTCTAGGCGCTATGCGCTTCACGCTGACCGCCGCGCCGCTCCGTTCCAGGTCAAATTGTGTGTTTGGTTTCTCTCTTAACTCGACTAATTGAAGGTGTTGTCTCTTGTATCACCGAGAGACGACACAGTTAGAAATTACTATACTTTTACTCTGGAGGAAATGAGAGATTTTGTCGTATTTTCTCGTTTGTAATCTATTTTCTGAATCCGAATTTTTCTCTCTTTTTTTGATACCTACATTCAAAAAGATTGCAAAATTTGCCGCCCCCTACATTTTGCCGCCATGGGCCGCGGCCCATAAGGCCACCCCCTTAATCCGGCCCTGGTAATTAGGTAATTAAATTTTATAAATATGCAACAAATTAAAAAAATGATTTTTGACTCTTTTAATTTGAATGAATGAATTTTTGGAATTTCTTGGCTTTGCTTTCCCCGCAAAATGGTGTGGACTCAGCGTTTCCTCAAAGAGATATGCTGTTTGGTGCAACACTTGTCATGAGCAAAACAGCATATCTCTTTAAGGGAAAGTTGTGCTCATATGAGCCTTTTCCCTCTGTATTGAGATTTTCAGCTTTATGCTGAATTTTCAACGCACGTTGGCTAAAAAACTCCAACACGCTGTCAATTTCCCCTAAAAATCTATTACTCAAACCATTCAACCAAGTGAGCGTTTCGTAATGAAGACTCGAATTGTCGAGTGAGCCTTTTCTTTCTATGATGAGACATCGGCTTTGGACTGAATTTTGGTAAAATCACCAACCCTCTATCCATGTCATATAAATGTTCAAGAGAAGCTGTTTGTTTGATCGATGTAAACAGAATAAAACATTATTGGAAATTTGAAACGTCGGAACCAGTTTTTGACATTAGTCATCAATGTGTAAGCAATTAATATAGAATTTACATAAATGACATCTAAAAAAAGTTGTTTCATTTCTCCCCACTTCCATCCCTCTTGATATTTCACGAGAACGAAAACTTATAATGTAACATAACATCATTTTAGGGAAAAGTTTAAAACAGCATATCTCTCTGAGGAAAAATTGTGCTAGGTTAAGCTTTTTCCCTCCGTATTGAGATTTTCAGTTGTATACTGGACTCTAACGCACGTTCAGTGGCGTGGCGTGAGTTGCGATGTATCGATTGTTATGCCATTTCAACGTATGGAAAAGGATCGATAAACAGCGTGTTCGCAGCGAATACCTTAATAATAGATTCTTTACCATAGATTTAAATGACATAACAATCGATATATCGCATTTCACGCCACGCCACTGCGCACGTTGGCAAAATTACCAACTTTCTGACTAATAACGAATCGTGAGTCCAAGCGCAATCAGTTTGTATTAAAAACCTTAATAAAGCGCAATTGTTCTACTGCTTGACGCTGGCTAGTTTTCTATATCGCGAATTTACAAGTAGAAGTGTAAAATACATGAATATTGATTATCGACCATTTACAAAGGACGAGGACGGAAGAATTTTCACTCTGCATACCACAGCATTAATTTTCATTACTACTTGACACTAGGGAGCGCTGTAGATTTTGTTTGGTTCGTGAACGATTCATAGGACTTTCACCATGTGGAAGGAAAATGAATCTAACTTTTTGAAAAAATGTGGCTGGTCGCTGTCTCTCGATTTGACCCAACGTGCTTGCCTTGATATTTATAAAAACCGCCTCCCAGTCAAGGACATGGCGATCGAACCAGCCTCTCTTCTAGGTATCGCCGTGTTAGTCAGATTGCCTCTAAAAACTGTATTATTTTCTGCCTGATGGCAGGCGTTAAGAAATTGATGAATACGAATCGTTTACTTAGGCACAATCTGGCAATGCAGTACCTGCCTCTTCTTTTGAAAGATTTTTTGAAAAGTGGATAGGGTCGCGCCGTAAATAATTATAATTAATCGATTACTGTTGACTTCAAAATGAGTATTAGAATCGCCAATTCTCTCAAACACTCATCTAAAGTAGCAAATTTATTTTAAATGTGAGGAGCAAAATGTAATTTTTAGCGATACTATGGCTACGAATTGTAGATTAGAATTTAAGTCTTAGATTTTTATAAGACGGCACGGTTATATCGATATGACGTTTTGGTTTGCATAAATCATTACGGTGAAAATAACTGCTTAACTTGGTGAAAATATTATTTTCCTGAAA